CTTGATAGTCAATGGCATTATCATCACTAAATACCTAACTATCAACTGCCTGGGGCTTATCACTGACCAAATCTGAACTGGACCAGCCATTCAAATACTGTGGCTTCAACAGCAGGTGAAGGGCTAGGAATCCTGAAGACACTAACTCACCTCCTGACTCCCCTAATCCTATACCCATGTGCATGATGGAATATTCCCTACTTGCCTGGATGATTACTGTTCCAAAACTCAAGAAGCCTGATACCAGCCAGGACAAAGTAGCCCATTTGATTGGCATCACATCTACAAACACTCATTCCCTCCACCATCAATGCACAGTAGCAGCATTGTGTACTGTATACAAGGTGCACTATTGAATGTCATCAAGCTTCCTTATACAATACCTTCCAAATGGCAGCACAGTGGCTCAGTGGTTAGCACTGCTGCCTCACAGCACCAAGGACCTAGGTTTAATTCCAATCTTAGGCAACTGTCTGTGTGGAGTTTCCACAGTCTCCACATGTCTGCCTGGGTTTCCTCCGGGTTCTCCAGTTTCCTCCCACAGTCCAAAGATGTTCACATTAGGTGGATTAGCCATGGGAATAGCAGAGTTACAGGGATAGTAGAGAGGTGAATCTGGATGGGATGCTTTTGGAGGGTTGGTGTGGACTTAATGAAATGGCCTGCTTCCACACTGTAGGGATTCGATGGTTCTATTCTATTCTAAACCCATTATTACTAGTAGATACAGAGGAATACCACCACTGCAAGCTCCCTTCCAAGCCATTCACCTTCCTGACTCAGAAACATGTCCCATTCCTTTATTGTTGCTGGATCAAAATCCCGGAACTCCCTCCAAAACAACACTGTACCTATACTAAATGGACTGTGGCAGTCCAATAAGGTAGCTTACCACTACTGTCTCAATGACAATTAAAGATGAGCAATAAATGATGACCCAAGCCAGCAAAGCCCATACTCCATGAATGAATTTTATAAAACTCGATCTTCCTTTTTAACAGTGCCAATTACTCCTCAAAGAATTCCAACAAATTAGTCAAACAGGATTTCCATTTCACAAAACCATGCTGAATCCTCCAGATTACCTCGAGTTTTCAAAGTGCCCAGTTAAAACCTCTGAATGATCAATTTTAACAGCTTCCCCACGACAACATAAAGTTAAATGTCCTTTAGTTTCCTGTATTTTACCTCCCTTCTTTTTTGGGTATATACTATTTTCCAATTTCATGGCCCCTTTCCAGAATTTAAAGAACTTTAGAAAAATAAGAACCCTTATCTTAAAACTCAAGGATGAAGTCCATCAGGACATGGAGGCTTATCAACCCACAGCTTCATCAGTTTGCTCTGTTTACTCATTTCCTTAGTGATTACAATTTGACTCCATTCCTCTCTTCCTTCAACTTCTAGATTTACAAGTATTACTGGGATATCTTTTCTATCCTCAATTGTGAAGGCTAAAGCAAAATATTTACTCATTACATCTACCATGTTTATGATTTTTTTAATTAATTCCCATTCTTAACATCTGAAGGACCGACACTCACTTTACTACTTATCCTTTTCAAATATCTATAGACACTCTTGCTATTTATTTTTCACATTTCTGGTTAATTTCCTCTCATGCTCTATTTTATTTGTCCTGATTAACTTTTTAGTTATTCTGTGTCATTCTTAATATTCTGAACAGTCATCTAACCTGTCACCTGTCTTTGTGTAATTATATTTTTTTCCTTAAGTGTGACGTTTTCTTTAACTTCTTTAGTTAACCATGGATGGTGGGTCCTCTCCTTGGAATTATTCTTTATCATTGGAAGATCCTTATTCTGAGTATTCTGAAATATCCCTTCAAATGTTTGCCAGTTTCACTATTGATCTATTTGCTAGCCTAATATCCCAATTGATTTCAGCTAGCTTAGCTTTCATGCCCATATATTTGTCCCTTTTCAAGTTTAAATGCTGGTCTTCGCCCCAATCTTCTTCTTCCTTTCAAACTGGATATAAAATTTATTCACATTATGATTGTTGCTACCCAGAGGTGCCTTTACTTAAAAACAGAAATTGCTGCAGGAACTCAGCAGGTCTGGCAGCATCAGTGGAGAGTCAGCAGAGTTAACAGTGAGGCCAGTGACCCTTCTTTGAGATACTAGACTCAAAATATTAACTCTGCTTTCTTTCCACAGATGCTGCAAGACTTACTAAGTTTCTCCAGCAGTTACTACTTTTGTTTTAGATCTTCAACATCGACGATTCTTTGTTTTAATTTAAAGCCTTTATTTAATCCTATCAGCTCTGTGGTCAGTTCTAGAAAGTTTCTGAGAGCAGCACAATCTCAAAAGTATTCAATGAATTCCTCATCAAGGCTACTATTAACACTCTGATTTTTCCAGTTTATATTAAGATACCACCCACAATTATTTCTGGCCCTTGATATCACAAGCTGCCAAAAGTTCTTCTTGTATAATACATCTTACATTGTGGTTACTGTTTGGAGGTCTGTATATCACTCCTTCCTTTTTTCCTTACTGTTCTTCATCTTCAACTAAACAGATTCCATAACCTTATCTCCTGAATCAAAGACATTACTATTGCACAAATACTATTTCTGATTAGGAATACTACCCCTTTCACTTTACCTAGCTTCCCATTCTTCTTGAAAGTTCAGAACCTAATCTTCCAGCCATGTCTCTGTAGTGGATTTCAGATAATACTTATTAACTTCAAAGTGTGGTATCAATTAATCAACTTTGTCATGGATGTTGTGTACATTGAGAGCTATTTTTGTTATATTGTAACAGACAGTCTTGATTCTGGTATGTTTTTTAAGTTTTCTTTTCCACTGTCCCTTCCTGACATTCTCTGACCTTCATTTTCCTCTCCTCCCCTACCCCTGGTTTTATCACAATAACCCAAGCTTGATCCCTCACCCTATCTTGTTTAGTTTAAAGTCCTGTCTATTTCCCCTGGTTATGTGGATCATGACCATGATTAAGATTGAATATGAAATCTTTATATCCTCAGGCCACATGCTATGTTGCAGCAATGTTATGATTAGCATGTCTTTTAAAGGCACACTTACCATGACATATAACACAGCATCTCACTTTTCCTCAGATGAAAACTTATCCCAAACATATATACATGGTTGTACTGAAACGTGCTGTCAATTTAATAATTATACAAACAGCTAAAACAGATATTAAGAACACAGGTTAAAAAGAGAATTAAAACATCAGTGTAACACTTTGAAAGTGTAATCTAATGAAACTATTTCCATGTGGAGAGTTATGCCTTGTTCTTTGTTGCACTTATTTTACAATTTGATTGTTTTGCTGCTATTTGCTACCTCTTTGGTAAACAAAATGCATGTAGTGTTCTTCCTCGCTCTCATTGTGCATGGTTGACATGCCATGCATTGGTCTGGGCCAGCTTGAAGCATCGTTGCAATGCAATGCTACATCAATAATGACTGTATCCTTTAGGCTGTTTGCTGATTTTAGAAAGCTTTGCTGCTTTCCAAGTACTTGTATTTGTATTTCTAACTTGGACTCTCTGACTTTTGTGGACTTAAGGTAATTCTCTACTGATGCTAATTGTGTATCTTTCATTCTCCTCCATCTTTAAAGAAGACAGTCCCTTGTTTCAAAACAATTAGACACTCAGTTGCTGGGCAAGGTTATTTGTACTTGCTTTCTGAGCATAGGTTGTGCTGGGGATGGTAATTCATTCTCCATTGGTGTTGAATGAAAATGCAGCAATGCAATGTGAACATCTTGCTTTGGTAATTGACACTTAATGGTCACTCATTTGATAATACATACTAGTGTCAAGTGTTTGAGTGTGGTTGGTGGAGTGACGATGTAATCATTCACCACTTCACACACATATCTTTAAATGGTTTGCCAGTGTTCCAGTAGCATCTTCCAACAATCTAGTTCATTGAGTCTTGGGATTGCTATCTATATGACACGAGTTTGGGTCTGTTAATCCTGAAGTTATATAAATTAGTGTTGTTTTCCTGGTGATTCATGTCTTATATATTGATCTGTACAGCTGACTGCACTCACAGAAACCCATGCTACCTAAAGGTATGGAACTATCCATGTCCAAACTGCCTACTGTCCAAGCTGTTGTTATCTCATTGGTCTTCCAATTAGTTTTCCTATTATCTACTACTGAGATAATGGAATCTCTTATACAGTCACTAGTGCTCCATAGTGTGAGTTTACATCCAACATGTGTTTGACCAGATGCAGCAATCCTAATGTTGTCTCACATCCATCAGATATTTATTACAGCTAATTATTACATTTAAGCATTACATTCCTCAGGCACATAAATATCTGGACTAATATCAGGCTATAGGTTTACAGCAGAGGAACATGCTTACAATACAGTGTTACGCTTCAAGTACTCCAAGGTAAGATGGAGTATGAGATCTTTATACCCTCAAATCATTTTTATGATGCAGTTTATAATATCATGAGCATATCTCTCCAAGACACGCTAACATACTGACCATAAGACATAACACAACAGAAATGATATAGACTCTGGCCATTAATTTATTGTAGATCCACAGAAATGGAAGAAAAAAATGGTCCAGACTTTAAAGCAGAGGCATGTTTTATTTCCTGATGTTAATAACAAATAATCTTTAGGCAATACCCAGAAGCATTAAAATTGAAGCAATAAAATATTTCCATTTTCCATCTATTCCTACATGTTCAACAGATATTGATAATTGGTAAAATAGTGGTCAAGTCTAAGTAAAGCATTACAGAGAGCTAATAATATCAAAGTACCTGATTATATTACTGGATTATTTACATTTGTTCCAGCCACAGTGATTATCAGTGTGTGAACTCAGTATAATTAACTCAGTAAAAATAACTCTCTGGTCCCTTCAACTTTGTCATGATGTTTGACTGATTTTCAGAAAAAAAAGACAGTATATTATAGAACACAATACTTTATCAAAAAGAAAGCAATAGAAGACATACCATGACAATCTCTCCTAGGTATTCAAAGGTACAGTGGGCAATACAGCCATACTGAATTGTAAAGCCTGTGAATCCCAGCACCTTACCAAACAATCTTCCTAACATGTTAGGTCTCCTCCACAGAAATGAAAGCCAGAATCCTGAAAAAAAAGAGTACAGTACTGTCAAATCATAGCAAAATACAAAAATCAAATATTAGTTTATTTTTGGATTGATCTGATACTGAATCTCACCAATATTACCGAAATGTTTGTCTACTGTAAGAGAACCCTAAATTAAATGCAGGCAATATGCCACAGTAAACATTAACAGCTATAGGGGAGGGATTGCTGGATAAACTGAGACAGAAAGGATAAATTATTACATTCAGTGAAAATATGGAAAGTTGCAGTAGCCCCTAACACTGTTGCAAACACTGAGGCCCTATACTTGCAGAAGAAAAATTTGAAGCATGTGAATGCTTAACACCTTCATCTGAAAGTCATCTATTATGTTAGCAGAGAGTTTAACCCATTTAGCACAATTTATTTATTTAACCAATTTTTATATTATTACTTTCCTAGAATGCTTCAAATATTTGCATGCTACTATACCACAGAACAATTTCTGCAGCAAGTGTAAACTATGATAAATACATTCTAGTCACATCACCAATGTTGCTCAACAGCATTAGATTCTGATCTAGATTAAATTTAGATTTTGACTGGACAGCCACTGAGTCTATCAATTCTGAGACATTAGTATGTTCGAAAACAGTTATCTAAAATGATATTTAAAAACTTGTTGGTTTACTAGAAGGGGACTGTTCTATCCTCCAAAAGGGAAGTCGTCAAAAGCCAGCATACCCAGAAGAAGTCCAAACTGCATCCATAACACACCAAGGGAAAGTTAAAGTGGTTGAAAGTGGGACTTTCAACTCAGTTAAAGTCCTGCCCTTAAGAACTGCCAGCAGCTTCAGGAATGTGGAAAGCAACAGAGCTCAGCAGTTGATGTTATGGGGATTACGAAAAAAGAGAATGAGGCTGATGATTGTTGCTCCAGAAAGTTAAGTCCTCGGGTTTTAATATGGAAAGAATGGAGAGAGTTTCTCGAATTGCTTCTGAGATGGCTGCCTGCAGTGCTTCAGTGCAATACTTCATTTGCAGAGCTCACATGACTCTGGTAAGTCAAGAAACATAATAGGACTTCCATCCAAGCATCTTACTTTGCACATGCAAAACAAAAAGATGAAATTTGTGTGCATTATTAACATTGTAAGTTACCCAAGCTACTCCCTATTCATCTGGATGTTAATTCTTTTCTGTGGAGTGTCATTCCCATGTCACTTGTGTCGCTATGGTACCTATTGCTCCTTTTCTTGACTCTACATCTTCCTGATCTGCTGCCTGCAATGAAGGAACAGCTTCTCTAGTTATGCATACAGGATTGCTGTTACAAAGATATATCTTGTCGCTCATTTTCACAGTGACAACTGTTCCTATACAGGTCCCAAGTTCAGATTTGAGCCAACTCCTGTTGACAGCATTGAAAGTCTGCACCCTGATTGACACTTCAACGCTGAACTCTGGTAATGGTGTAGCAGCCTTGTCAAAATGAAATTTGGCTTTCTGCAGTTTCCATTTTGAGTTTGTCACTCATGCCTGTTAATAATTCCAGATTTAATAGCTTTTTCGCTATTGAATATTTTAGTCTTTGGGCTGGTCTACTTTCCATATCTTCAGTAGGTGTGTTTCAGAAGGTGTGCCTTGCATCTGTGCTGGATTTTCCAGATTTCTTTATGACTTATTTGGCATGTTTCACTGCCACCTTAGTCTTAGTCTTAGTTCCATTTGACTGGGGAAAGATCTTTATGAAGTAGTTGTGTTCTTCATTCACAAACTAAGGATCACTGTCGCTCATCACAATATTGGGAATGCCGTAATGACGGAAATGTACTGAAGTGAGCTTTCATGCATTCTACAAACTCACTGGTAGTCATTGAAGTCCACTGATCCCAGTAGTCAGTACAATAGTCTATGCTGAAAGACTCCCAAAAGCCTATCCACCATCTGCAAGGCACAGATCAGGAGTGTGATGGAATACTCCCCATTTCATTGTATTTCCACTAACACTCAAGAAGCTTGACACCATCCAGGGCAAAGTACCTGCTTGACTGTTTGTGGATGTAGTGCCATTCACTCCTTCCACAGGCACCGACCTTAGTAGCAGCAATGTGTACTATCTACAAGATGCACTGCAGAAATTTGCTAAAGGTCCTTAGGTCAGTACTTTCCAAACCTATGACCACTTTCATGTAAAAAGACAAGGGCAGCTGATACATGGGAACACCACCAAATGCAAGTTTCCCTCCAAGCTACTCACCATCCTGACTTGGAATGTATCACCGTTCCTTCAGTTTTGCTGGATCAAAATCCTGGAATTACCTTTCTAACAGCACTGTGTGTCTACATACAGCACAGCTCACCACCACCTTCTCAAGGCCAACTTGGGACAGGCAGTAAATTCTAGCTCAACCAGCAATACCCACCTCCCACAAGTGAAAAAAAAAATTAGTTTATTCTAGAATGAAGACATCTATTTCCAGCTTCATCCATGGTCTTTCTAGGACATCATGTATAATTGGTAGCTATCTAGCTCAGTTATCTTGGTACTCATTACGCCCACTGCAGTGGCTGATGTGGTCCTTAGTCTCATGGCTCCTGTTTGGCCTTGCCATCTCCAACACAACTCAGTGGCTTGCACAAATGTGCCTTAGCAGCTCCCCACTCAACCCCTTAGGGAGATTACTCTACTTCCTTTGTTCAATATGCCATCTTGGCCTGTGGATTATCACTTTAAGCTCTTATGAACAAAGAGATGATTTTAGGTTATTCTTTCATGACTATACTTTGTCGCACTTCAGCAGATGCATTTTATTGGGTAATTTCCTTGATGTGAGCAAGGTGTTTGTCTGTCAGATTCAATGTCTCTGCTGGGTAGATGATTTCTAGAGCATATAAAATTGTTTTTTTCACTTTGAATCCAGATTTCACACTCTGTCATCGTCTTCTTTCTTTAAAGGGAGCGCAGTTCTCAACAGCATGTCAGTAATACACATCTGGGTCTTTTGCTCGCATGGCACATTTAGAAGGTATCTTTGTAAACTTAGCAATGTTCTTTGCAGATGTTTTGGACTAAATTGCAGCAGTTTGAAGAAAATGCTTTCAAGTGGCTTGTGGTCAGACTTACCTATTAGCTTGTCTCTTCCAAACAGGAACTGATAAAATATTCATAAACAAAGACAAAGACAATAGTCAGGCACTGTTTTTTCCAATCTGAGTGTAGTGTTATTAAGTTTGCAGTCATACCCTGGATAGAGATGTTACTGTCTGTGCAGAGTCCTATTTTGTTTGGCTAAGTCTGCGTTGCACTAAATTTTTTCAAGGGTTTTTATGACAAGTCCCAGCAAGTTCTCTCACAGTATCTTACCAAATATGTTGCATCAAGTACCTACCACAATGCTATGGCACCACACATGTCCAATTCCAGTCCCATTTAACATGTGCCTTTTCCAGAATAACTCGCCACTCAGCTGATATTTTGGAATTCATTGGCATACCTGGAGTCCTCCACATCTTTAAAAGCCCATTGTACACTCAGGCAAGCACTGTCATTCTGGAGTTGCCCTGCACAGCTCCTGACATTTGCCCCTGACATAACTGCAGAAGGAAATCAGTGCCCGCCGTACAGGCAGGGACCGGAGGTCCTGTTGGATATAGGTTGCCAAAGCAGGACTTCCTCTTCCCCCAGGACCAGCAGTGGAGGCCACAACACAAGACCATTCCAGCCTGGTCTGAGGCTGCTATCTGGGTTAAAGCAATCTCTGCTGACTAGAGAAACACACGACACTATAGGAAGAATGTCAAGACCTTCTCCACTCCGCCAGCCACTATCTTCTCTCTGGAATCTCATACTCACTCTGTCTCTGCTACTGTACCCACCTCCCACCAAGGCTCATGCTCTGCCACTATCACTAATGACTACAATATATCCCCTGACTTGCTGTAACCTCCCAATCACCCACACCACTAACCCTGAAAGCCACTACACTGCCTATTCACTCACTCAGGACACCTTCCCAACTGCAAAGGTAATCCCCCTTGACTAGGCAGAGGCCTGCTGACAACCATGACAAGTTTCCTTGCTTTGCCTCTATGCTAAAATGGCAAGGCAAGACAGAAGTAATACAAGCCTCATGAGTTAAGAGGGGACAATGTGCAAACAGGTAAGGCAGTACATGACAAGGATGTTGTGAGCATCCAGTTAGGCTCAGATTGAGTGTACAGCAAGGAAAAAGCCTGCAGATGCAGCCTTGTCCAGTCCATGAGCTGGGTGCATGTCTTTGCTGCAGCATTACAATGATAGATTCCAGTACAAGCTAAGGTGCAGCAGTGAAGTGCAGAAGCATTCTGTGAGTAAATCAGTGATATGCCATGAGGGTTCTTAGAGGCTGGTACATCAGATACCGATATCCATGGACTTAGTGTGCCTGTGGGCAGTGCCCGTGGAGTATGCCCTGAGATGTTAGCATCTGGTGTCAAACAAGGAGGTCCTTTGGAGCAAGCAGTGCGCTGAGATTGGAATGGGATCGCAAGCTGAAGAGATGAATAGAAGCACATCTACTGAAAAAGGAACACAAATGTTCAGAGCTGCTGAAAGATTCCAAAAGCCACTGAAAAAAAAATGTAAACAAAGAAGCAGGCAACAGCTGAAACATTAGGGAGTTACTATCATTATTGGGGAAAGACAGATTCAAAGTGTCAGAGTTGGTGCCACTTTGATGGATGAAAAAGTGACATCCATGTTTGTTGGGCAAATACATGAAGCATGGATTTCAAAATCCAGCTACATTTCATTTGTTAACATTTCTTCATACATAGGCAATAAAGTCGCCACAGTCCTCGCGGACCATGGCCTTGTCCCACATTAGAAATACAACTCCTGCTGGTTTAACTCAAGGGTCAGCACACCTCAGGGAAGGGGAGAGGTTGAGAAAGAGAGTCCTTCATGGTAACCTCAGCAGGTGCATGAATTGAACCTATGTTGTTGGCGTTGCCCTGTATCGCAAACCAGCCATTGAGCTAATTGAGCTAACTGAGCT